ACACAAACAATAAAGAGATAGATAACCTCAGTATAAACGTTATGACAAAATCTCTGATGGCTGTGATCTTCTTATATATCACCATATCGTCTAACCCTAGCCCCACCGTGCCCTTGGTTTCTAACAACTCCCTTCATCTTCACAGGACTGGCAATCTGTTAAAGGTGAAATGACTGACGGGTACATCTTTAATCAGTGCCATCGACTGGCCTGAGGATTTGGTGCGCACTTGGGGTTTATCTCTCGACTCGGCTAGATAAAATGAGCACAAAGTCACTGGAAATCATTACAGAGTTGAGACGATAGAAAAAACAACAGAAACACCCTGTCAGCCCAACCCCTACATCGTGGAACCTATGAAATGAGGGAGATCGAGAGATGTAGGGGAGAGCGGGAGATACCAAAGAGTTGATGCTAACAGCTGGCAGTCTCCCCCTTAAAAAAGAAGCGGCTGGCTCTAGTCTGGCAGCCAGGAGAGGCAAGCAAGCGACGAGCAGGGATGAAAGGAGGAGTGTGAGAGATGGAGTCAGTGATGAAAGGTGGATGGTTGATGGTAGATGAGTGGATGTGGGGTAGGGTGGTGGGGGGGATTAACCAGCTTGCAAGGAGAAACTTCTGTTCATTGCCTCTGAAACAAGCCGTCACATGAGAGAAAAAGGAAGGGATGGGAAACAGAGAAAGAGAGACAGAGAGCAATGTAGAGTGAAGGGGGAGAGAGGAAGGGAGCAGGCTGCCACATTGCACATCTTCAGGCTGTGAATAATTTAGAGGAGCACTGGGGAGACGAGACGAAGATGAACACAAAACACTGGCAGCGTTTGACCTAGAGCTGCAGCTACATCAGTGCACATCACAGAGCGGAGAGCTTTCTCTCGCTCTCCCTCTTCCTCCCACCCTGTTTCTCTCTTTTCTCTCTTTTGCTCTTCATCTGCCTCCCTCTGTGTCAGGGAGGAAACAGCTGTACGATATTCTTGTTTTGCCTCACATTCTATGAAACTCAACAGAATGGCTGACAACTCCGTTTCATAAGGATCTCTCTTTCTCCCTCCCTGCTCTGGGCACGGCAGAAGAGCCTCAAAAAACCACAAAACGGATGTGTGTACATCCAGGCCTTATGAGGCTGTAACATAGCATAACATGTCTGTTTGCAGATCCCCTGGGCACACACAGGACTAATGATACCATCACATCATGTGAGAAAAAAAAACTAAACATCTTCGTAAGATAAAAGCGTCAACTTCAAAGAGTTTAAACTTTCTGGCCACCTTGCTGCCATTCTAGACTTAGACTAAATATCAGTCAGCTTTAACACTTCAATAATATTTAAACATTAGTTAGTTTAAATTATTCATTATCGAGCAAAATGTCTTACATTCACAGCCTCTCTATTTGCAGCAGATTTTGGAGTGTTGGTTGGCCAAACAATGCTTTAGATACATTTACAGACTGAATGATTAATTGATTAGTAGAAACAATATTCAACAGATTGTTCGATAATGAAATTAATCATTCATCATCATGGTTAACTGGCAGTTGATCAATTTGAGTTCACAAAATACCGAATTACCCAAACATTGTGTCCATTGCATTTTAAGAGCTGTGATGTCAAAACTATTTACAAGTTATAAATTATTCACTTCATTAAATTCGATTTTAAATGAATATATATAATTAATGTAACATTTACCACCCATAAATGGACATTTTCAGTGAATAATTTCTTGCAGAATCCTCAACATCAACACAGTTGCTGTCATAGGACATAATGCAGTGTTAGAGTGCAGTGAGCAACCAAGCAGTGGAAATGGTGGACAGCAGCCGTAAATAACAGCTGCCCTGTGATTAGGCACAGAAGAGGTTAAACAGAGCTCGTTTGCGCCGCCTTTGTCAAGGTGCCATGAATCACCTCACCTGCTGAAGTGTGTGTGTGATGAAAGGACCACTGGGCATCTGTGGTGGGAGTGACAGTTGGGCGGACAGAGGGCGGTCTGATCAACCCAGAAGGGAGGGGCCATTTATTACTGTAATTAAGGAACCGTGGGAGTAAAGGAGCAGAGATTGTAAATGCATACTGATATGCGAATACACTAATTTCTTTGTTTGGTAGAATTTATAGTTAGGGGACAAGTGGATGAATAGTGAAAAAAAAGAGGACTAAAGATAGCAACCAAACAAAAAATATGAGGTAAGTTGGTTCCCTCTCTTTATTTCTCGCCCCCTCCCTCCCTTTAACACCCTCTCACTCCCTCTCCCACTGTCTCCTGCTCGGTCTGCGTGGCTGATATTAATGGGACGTCCCTTGTTTGTAAATGTGCCAAGTTGTGTGCACCGCTGCGGGCTGTCTATTATAGCAGGCCTCTGGGGCAGCTTTTCCATATGGCGTCACATATGGCACTCAGCAGCATCAATTAATGTTGTTATAATACTGATTTTTATGAGCTAGGGTTTTACTCCTTTTCCCTCCAACTCCTCCCCTTCTTTCCCCCACTGTCGCTGATACTTTGACTCTTCAAACTGCCTCTCTTCGATTTCTCAAACCCTCGACAACTGAACAGTACAGGATCCGAAAAGTTTTCCGTGCCATATTCTGAAAGCTCTACTGAACGCTGCTCAAAGACCTTGAACATGACTTTGTTCATGCTGTACTGCGGAAGAAGGGTAACACTATTGCCAATGTGTCAGAATCTTTGAATCTTCTCTGCAGCTGAGAAACTTCGATCAATGAAAAATGAAAGAACATGAGAGCGATGAAGAGAGCAATTATGGAGACTGAAAACTATGTTAGATAATATCACATATCTGCAACCAAACACAATATTTACAGCACCTATTGTAGTTTTGGACACATTAGGCCAGCATCAGGGCCTATTAGTGTGTTAAATTAAGCCTGTATTTATGCACAAAGCGATAGGCAGGTGGATGTAAGAACAGAATCTGAGGAGCCTTTTTGTTCCCTGGTGCCTTTGGTGGTGGATCTGACAGGAAGGGAACAAGAACGTAGCAAAAAGCCCCGCTTAAAAAGCTCCCAGCCACACCAGCCTTGTCAGCGACGCCACAATTAGAGACTAGATCACTGGCGCTTCCCAGCGAGAAACATCTCACCACCACTCCTCAATGGAACTCTTTCGTTTGAGGAACACACTCAAAGCGGGGTTTTAAAACGTTTCGGATGGCTAATCACTCTCAGGATGAAAGGCCCTGGCGTGTTCGTTTGTCTCAGCGTGGGGAGCTTCCCTTGCCGTTTCTCTGTCTCTGATTCTGATTGTTTTTGTTCACTTCTTTTTCAGCAGGCAGGCGAGGCAGGCGAGCTGGCAGGCAGCGCTGTTTGAAGGTGCAGTCAGACCCGAGTGCAGGCCTGATGCTTTGTAGTGATATTTCCAGCAGCACAATCTCATTACTTTTTGACGTGGGAGATGCGTGCAGGGGCGGATTGTCATTTCACGCTGTCAAAAGTTCCGTGAAGGAATGGAGACGGGAATGGAACTTCAATGACCTGCATGCCTCTGGCTCATCAAGACTGAATATATTAAACCAAATAACACAGATAAAATCCAATGAACCAGATCCTTGAAGATGCTTGTAAACTTAATGTCCAGTCCCAAGGGGTGCAGAAGGAATCTCTCTCCTTATCTGGAATCTTTGTAATTGGATCTAATTCACAGCCTCATAAACTACACCATATATGAACCTAATTAACCTAGATACAGCACTGCATATACACTCAAGCAGCACATGCTCATATGTAGCTAAGACAAACAGGGTATTGTCATACTATTTGAGTCTTGACAGGAAAAGTCCTGACAGCAGCATCCTACACCTCTCAAAGATAGTGAGAGCTCCTCGACATTTTCACATGGGACAATCATTGGCAGCTTCCCCCTGGGGGGTGTCCATCGAAGCCGATATCACACAGAGTTCTTTCAACACAGAGAAAAACTTTGCTCTGGTTAAAAAGCTGCCAGGCACTGACTGAAGCGCCTGGTTACTATGCGCACCCCAGCCTGTTGCTGGGGTGACTGTCCCAAAGTGCTTCCTGGGTAATTTTCGAGGTCACTGGTTTGTGCACGCCTATGTGGTGCAGATGGGCCCACCCTCATTCAGGGCCCAGCAGGAACTCTTTCATTAGGCCCAGTGAATAGCCTCATTCATCCCCTTCACCTCAATTGGTCACGCTGCGTTTCTGCAGAGGGACCAGGACAAACTTTTCTCTCTTTCCACCCCCTGATCTTCCACGCACCACCCACCTTAGTCATGCTTCACTTTTGTTCAGGAGCATGTGGTGGCTGGAGCTTCAGGGCTCATCTTTGGTTGTAAACTGCCTTAGATCGCCTAATAGGTGGAATGTAACAGACTATTGAGATTGCTGTCTTTATCTTGATGAATGTTGTAAAAGAACGGCTATGCGTGACACATTATTTACCAGTAGATTGCATTTTTTTCAAATTTAGGAAAATATGCATGAAAATCTGGAAAAATCTAATGCATGCCGATAAAAAGAACAATCATTCACATTTAGGATATTTGTAAGTATTTTGTACACATCTTTATGGCTTATCAGTGCATTAATCCTATATTCCATACTCCTATTTCTATCTCAGAATTGCACAAAAAGGCCCCAAGGAGCTGTTTCAGCAGAACTCAGAGCCATTTCATCCCTAAGTTGCCTCTCTCTTCACTCGCTCCTGTAACTGCAGTGCTTAGCCATGCTTGTGAGTCCTCTACTCCCTGCCTCCTTTTGGCCCTCAAGTGAGTCTCAGGTCTGGCCTAGTGAGAAGTGACTAATTGTCTTGAGTTGTTAGTGTGCCTGGAATGAGATCCACTTCAATTGGCGACAGGGTGCACAATAATTTTGTTTCTCCCTTCCTCCTCCTCCTCCCCTCTCTCTCTTTTTCCTTTTTGCAGCAGATTTACCCCCTCTGCTTCTCAAGCTACTGAGCTGTAAAATTGAGTGGACGGCAGGCAGGATAAAGAATGAGACCTGGCATCGTGGACGCACTAACCTTGAGGAGGGCCACTGCTGCTGGCTGCACCTAAAGAGATGGAGACAGAACGTCAGCCATATTGGACTGAGGAAGGTTAAAATGAGGAAAGGAGGAAAGACCAAAGGTAGAGAGAAAGATGGAGACCCTTGCTGAAGACACAATAAGGCAAAGCAGATCTAAATAATGACGAGGATGGACATACAAACTACAGATAGATGACAGACTGTCAACCACAGACAGAAGAAATAGAAAGTGTTAGGTTTCATTTAAACTGACCTTTTCTCCTCTTGAATTCTTTGTCTTTCCCAGCTCCGTCTTTATTTTATAATAAGACTATGTAATAATCCCTCAGGTACTGCAGTGCAGATGTACAGCTAGTGTACTTGTGATTACATGATTAAACATACTGAAAAATTTAAATGTCTAAAAAAAACCCATATTGTGTGAAAACGGTGTATCCTACAAAATGACCCCGGAGCAGACTCCCTAGCAGTTCTAACAAAACTGTCCTCCGTAATGAAATCAACTTGTATAGCTACTCTTGGAACAAATCTAAGCAATCAATTACTATGAATCACAAATACACTAGCTGCGGTTTAGATGTGAACAAATGGAGCCTCAGTCGCTTACAGATGATATTAGTGCTCTGAGCTGCTCTCTCTCCACGAGAGATTAAGCAGGTTTGTACTCTCCCAGGCGGGCAGCGCTCCCCCCTCCAGGGTGCTGCACTATCATTTGCAGGAAAATTACTTCAGTAATGAAGAATCCAGGCCCATAAATCCTCATGGCCTCACCTTCCTTCGCCTCCCAAGTCTCGCTGAACAGCTAGTAAAAATTCCCTTTAAAAAATTCATAGCGCAATTTTGCTCAAATCCCTCCCAGCAAGCACAATTATGGAACTTTCATCTCAATTGATTTATGTCCTGAGCTAAGAAGAGGAGGGGGCACTGGTTGGAGAGGGGTGGGGGGTTGTGAAGGGGGAGAAAAAAACAAGTGGTAAATCATTGTTTTTAAAAGGGAAGGCGTAAGGTCTTTTGTCACTTGCACTGCGTGTGTGTGTTGTAGCACAGACCATAGAGAGGTGCACGGATAAAGGGAGGAAGTTGGGAAGGGGAACATCTAAAGGGTTTGAAAGCAGGAGTGAAATGGCAAAAAGGAGGAGGAGGGGAGGGAGATGGGGGCGAAAGGAGCGGTATTCCACTTGATTAATAACACTAATCAAATTATACAGTGTTCCACTGTGCCCTGAAATCTGGGGCCATAATGTCCTCTAATGGCGAGGTTCATGGAGCTAAACTTCAGAGGGAAAACACGGTGCTGACTGCTGCATGCCTTAATGAAGGCAGTAAAACATCCATTTCCAGAAGCCATGAAATGAAAGGCAAGATTGTAGATGTGCACCCAGTGGCTCTCCCACCGCAAAAAAATGGAAGGCTGTTAACACAAAAGACGGTGTCGGAGAAAGAGAGAGAGACAGACAGACAGAAAGAAACAAGACCTTAAGAAGAGAAATGAGGAGAGAATAATATAAGTGAGGAGATTTAAAGGGCAACAACACCAAGAGTAAGGAGATATAAAAAGAAAAGGATGATGAAGTGAGGATAGAAAGACAGATTGGTAGATGCTCTCAGTGCTTTATTTCCAGAGAAGTTCTCTTCTGGCATGAAGACAATCTGTGTCTGCTGATTATGGATGAGCCAGGCTTCTTTACTATGTCTGTTATACTTAGTGCTGCTGACAGCAGCCACAATTCATCTCTATTTAGTTGCTGATGCACCTAACCACAGCATCCTCCCCCTCATCTATCTCAATACCACTCCATTAGAGTATTCCCTCTGTCCATCCAGGCATGCATTCTGTTGATCCATCTATCCATCCGTATTTCCATTCGTCCCTCCATCCATGTGTGCATTTGTCTATCCATTCATCCTTCTATCCATCCATCCATTCGGACATCCATGTGTACATTCATCCACTCATCCCTGTGTCCATCCATATGTCCTTCAGTCTGTCCAGCCATCTACCCATCTATCAAGCCATCAAATCTTGTGTAAATAAAATTCTGCTCTGAAAGATATGACACATACAACAATATTGCTCTGACCTTAACTGTCAGCTAGTTGCTGTAGGTAAAAGGTTAGCTTGTTATTTCTAGGCATTATGCCAAAAGACAGCATGACTTCTGTTGGCAGCAGGACACTATATGTCTGACATCTGACAAAATATAAGCACAAGATGTAAAGATCACTATGGCTCTAGTCACAAAGTGTAGTCCTGCAGAAAAAAGGTCTGCTGCACTAAAACTAACTGAGAATCCAGACACTTAAAATTTATACAATAGCATTATGGTTTGCATTTAATCTACTAAATTGCACATGCTACAAACAATCAAATCAGCCTTTGCATCTTGAGTAAAGCAAATGTTGTTCGTAGTCCTTGGGGCAAAATTTCATCTGGAGAGCAAGGGGGAAAAAAACAACAAAGCTGAGAAAACACAGATTGCTATTGTTATTATTATCATAATTACAGTTGTGCTTATCATGTGAGCAGCCTCAATCAGGATGAAATACAATTTCATTTGATGAAGCTTCCTGTTTTGACTGGCTTGAGTTGGGGAACCACACACTTGGCTGGCATGCCAAAAACTCAATCAGGCACAATTACATAGCCATCAGATAGAAATGTAATTGATTTGAAAGCTGACATGAGATATAACTACATTACAGTGGAGGCACAGTGGGGAGGCTCCTTGGGGACAGGGCCTACGGGGAGCTCATTACCGCCAAGCTTTGAATTATTGAGTGCTAAGGCAGTGACATTGAGGAATAGAGGCGGGCGATTGGCTGTTACAACTCGGCAAGTGTTTATCTCAACTTACAGCAACCTAAGACATCTGAAGGGGTGATCTGCCTGTGCATGAATATTGCAAGGGGAGAAGTTGTAATGGTTCATAATTGAAACGGTTCAGGCCAAGGTAGAGTCCGCGGGTGCATGTCTGCTATTTCAAACATGTTCCACATGTAGTATTTGTAAGAGTTAAACAAAAGTCAAAACACAATATCATGTCCTGCTTGTGGGTCTTCTTCATAGCAGTAATACTACCTAGTCCTTCGGTCACATATTTAGCGCTTTGGTTAGCATTTACTTTGGGGGAGCATCACATGTCCCCCCTAACCCTGCACAATGAGAGCTGTGTTGGTTCAGCATGGTGCTTTCCAAAATGTACTTGCACATAAGTAAAATTTGCTTGGTTGGTTTTTGAGTTGTCTAGTTTGGTTGTTGGGGAGCTTGCTGGCTAGTTTCATAAAGAGTGCTGCATCATCCTCCTCACCTACAAAGCTCTTCATTGTCAGGCACCTTTGTATCTTAAAGAGCTCATAGTACCCTATTACCCCACTAAAACACTGCACTCTCTGAATGCAGGGCTAGTTGTGGTTCCTAAAGTCTAAGCTCTAAGTAGAATGGGAGCCAGAGCCTTCAG